GCGTTAAATTGAACGGACAATCATAGCACGCTTTAGACATAGAGTAATACCAATCTATGGTAAAATTGAAACGGCAAACCGCGGGTTCGGCCGGCCACTTGCATTGGCGTTTGCAATCAATCCCATTCAATGAGTATGTCCCTGAACCTGTTAAAAATAATGGGTTAACATTAAACGCAGTGACGTAAAATCACTATCGCTTTAAAAATCGTAGGCCTACAGCCTGGTTTCCGTAAAATCATCGCTAAACTGTCACTACAGTGTTTTCAGTGCAATCGTCGTACTGCATAGCAATCCCCGACGCAATCGAGAAGGCTCCCTGATTCGACCGACCAATCAGCATCACCGAAAGCTGTCGGCAATAGTGTGTAGAGATTTTATGGAAATCAAGCCTAAAGAATGCAAAATCAACTATCTTTTAAAATATTTTATCATCTTCAAAAGGTTTAATACCGTAACATCATCTAGCCTCCTGTTCTTTTGATTGAATTTTCGTAATATGTGGCGCAGGTGGGGTCCGGGGGAGTTTGTAAAATCGATTAAATATACCTTTCAAATCGCCCTTTACCCCTTTCTGGGCAGTAACTGGTCACTCCCATAAACGCTCTTGCCGAGAACCCCCCCCCCCAATCTGACCCCAAATCCTGGCACCGCCCCCCAATTCATAGGTGAAATACACATTTCAATTAAATATTTTAAAATTAATTTCACTCCCAACCGTGTAAAAATGCATAAATTCGAAAAGATCAGTTTTGTTGAACCAAAGGGTATTGAAACTTTGTTAAAGTTAACCCTACGGTTTGATCATTCTTACTAGATATTATTTTTGGATTTTCATTATATAACGGAATTAAATAAATACCTGATTGTAGGCATATTCTTTGTTTGATGATATGTATTTGATGATATGTATTTGAGATGATATGTATTTGAGAGCAGCTTAGCTCAGTCGGATAATCTGGTGGTAGCCAATGTGTGTGCGCTGAACCGTGGAGATCTCTAGGTCCCCGGCTCAATTCCCATCGCTGCCTCTCCTTGTGTTTCAGCTAGAGGGCTGAAATACAAGTTACCGTCTTTCGGATGAGACGTTTAAGCCGTTGGTCCCGTGTGCATTTATGGCCCATGTGCACGTTAAAGAACACAGTATACTCTTCGGAAAAGAGTATGGGCTTGTCTCCCGGTGTATTGTCCAATCACCACCAGAAGGACCCCACTGGAAACAAGTCTTCTTCTAGACTTTCGTGAGCTATCCTTGGTGTTTACACCGAAATCCATGAACTTAAGTGGCGAAATCCCCAGTCACTCGTGGTATTTCCAAAGATATGGAAGACTTATGCAAAATTGTAAAGCTTGGTTTCCTTAACATCGCTACATTGTCGCTACAGTGTTTTCAGTGCAATCGTTGTAATGCGTAGCAATCCCCAACGCATTAGGGAAGGCTCCCCAATTCGACCGACCAATCAGCATCACCGAAAGCTGTCGGCGATAGCGTGTAACGATTCTTTGGAAACCAAGCTTCAGACGATCAATGAAATTTACCTAGTTTTGCTTGTAATACTTGGCTAACCAGTATCCCAATAAATATGATATTTGTTCTCATAGTTCTTGTTGCCTTCCGTCGATGCGTTTGGTTAAAGGACGTGTCTTCTATTGATAAAAAAAAAAAAAAAAACAATGAATATGGTATAGCTATAATTATTTCCAGATCTGGCTATAGCATGAAGCGAATGAAATTTGGAGGGCTCAACAAATTTAGCTCGTAGCCTTAAAAATAGAAAAAACAAAAACAAAAACAAAAACCTAGAATTCAAACAGTTTTATTTGTAGTTTGTACTGCATTGCAAGGTTAATGTTATCTGAAATACTTGAACCTGGGAGTGACAATAAAAAAAAAAACTCCCTTAAAGTTCAAGGCTGCTTACTGTTTATGCCGCCTAGCACAATTAATCGTTTTAGTGTTTCACAAATAGGAAGAAAATATTTTTAAAGTGTATTAATGATGAGAGGTCAACTCTAATTAAAAAGAACTGCGATTACACTTTTTTTTTTATAAGAACCAGTAAAATTTTGCCCAGGCTCAGTGTTCTTATTTTTTGGCCGATTTCAGGCTCAAAATGTTCTTATTTTGTTCTTAGTTTACACACCTTTTAAACAAAAAATTATTTAATTGTACAGCAGTATGCACTGTACTGGAATGTAGGTGAAAGTGACCCCACAAAAAATGGCCCCTAAATGTCAGATAGGTACACCTACTGTACTGTATAATAGAGGATATTACAGACACAGCTACTGCACATAAATGTACAGATATAATATTTTGGTTTTTAAAAATATAAA